GGTAACTCTGGTAACTCCGGTAACCCTAGTAACTTGGCTGGAAGGACTTACTTATGCCACCACCTGTGCCACCACTCATGCTACCACTTATGCCACCCATCCTACCACCTCGGGCAAGCCCACGCGTGGAACCTGTATGTCTTCGTAATGATGGTGAGGGCGGGCTGAGCCGAAGCGCAGGATTGCGCAACATTGTAGGGGAAGATCCAGGCGGGTATTTGCGAGGGGTACGCTGCGAAGGGTGAGGGTGACCGAGCTTGAATGGGGAATATCGTGGTGAGCGCTGCGATTTCCGAGGAGAGGCTCGTAATGGAGAAGCTGCAATTGGAGCACGTCGAGGTCGACCTCGAGGTCTTTTTGCTGGCTGACTATCATTAAGAGGAAGAGTATGTTTCGATCTGAAAAGAGATAGCCTAGCATTATTCCCATCTCTACAACCTTTGCAAGTAGCGAATACTTTGCTTTGATCGTCGTTCTGAAATGACAAGAGAGGCTGAAAAACATCTTTTAGCAGGCATCTGCGGTTGGTACAAAGTTTCGTCTCTATATTGTAATAAAAGTGGTTGTTGAGAAGGTCAAGTTGTTGATTAATCAAGGCGTTACGCGTAAGGGTATCAAGGTGACGCGACGATATATGCGGCAGAATTGATGGCGGTGGCTGAATTAAGCCTAGCTGTGTTTCATATTTAATTCGGGCCGACCCGTTCCGAAAAAAGTTCAATAGATTGACATGGAATAAAAGTCTTGGCACGCTTACAAATCCTGCCAGATCCGTATAGAATAGTCTCACGTGATTGGATGACTAACCACCACCACAACCTCAGGACCCCTGGATTACTCACCACCACCACAACCCTTGGATTACTCATCACCACCACAACTACTGGATTACTCATCACCACTACAACTACTGGATTACTCATCACCACCATAACTACTGGAATTTATCTTAGGTCACCGTTGGTGACAATTAAAGAGCTTCGTAAGATCGAAGTATTGCATATCTCGAAGCTGGCTTAAGAAAGAGGCTTTGCTTAAGCTTCGACGTTTCTTTTATTATCGAAAGCGTCGAAGTTAGCAAGAAAGAGCTCTTAGTGATCTTTAAGAGCGTCGGAGTAAGGCTTATCGTCCGAGTCATCCGAATAAAGGCTGTATTCGGGTTTAGCGCCGTATTCTATCTCGTTGATTAAGTAGTAGCGAAAGAGCTTCGGCGTATTCGAGTCTTTGCGGGACGATCTAAGGGTTTTGATTACTAACTTAAAGGCGTTTCCGAAAGAAGAGAATTTATTAAATCGATTAAATCGATTTGTATTAGCGCTAAGGTTGTTAAAGGTTTAGCGCTAAAAGGTAAAGAAAGAGACGGAAGTTGAGCTACCTTAACGGTTCTCGTAATAAGTGATTTGCTTGACCGCTACTCTTTAAGCCGAGCGAGATTCGTTACGAGCTTTATTATAAGAGCTCTTCGCGAATTAAATATTATACTTAGCTTGTAAAGCGTCGTAAAGCTTTGCAAACGCGTATTAGCTAGCAGCTAATTGTTAGACGGCGGTCTGAAAGTCCTTAAAAGTTATAGTTTTAGTAAATTCTAAATAAAGCTGGTCGCGCAGCTGTTACGATGCTGGCAAGCCTCAGGCCTAGGATGGATTGGTCAGGCATGGTTGAGGGGATTAGTCAGCTGGCTCAGTCTGCCCGGGACTAAGCCCACGCTAGCGGCCGCCCAGGTATATCACCTCTGGCCCTTCTTGTATTCTAGTTCTTTCTTCCTCGTCTTTCTTTCGCGATACCTAGCGTATGTTTTGGTAGTACTACAATACTACTCTTACAAGCCGTAACAGCAGCGTCTTAATGATTTTAAAACGCAAAGCCTTACGTAATCGGTCTTCGTCTTTGATCTCGGCGGTAGCGGCAAGCTTCGAGAAAATAAAGTAGAAGTTTTAAAATTGCTAGTTAAGCTTTATATAAAGTTTTTCGAACTTAATTGACGCTTTAGCTTTTTTAATAAAGTCGTTTAAAAATTCGAAAGCGATCTAAACGAGTTCCGAAGCGGTTACGAGGTTGCTACGATTCATGATTAAAAGGGCTAAGAATAAGTAAGCTGTTTTTTTAGTTTAGTTAAGGACGTAATTCTTGCGCTAGCGTTTTATGAAAAAGTATTTATCGAAAGCTTTTAAGTTGTCGAAGACGCGGGTTTGCTAATAACGTGCTCGGTAGCTTACACCGTTTAAAAGCTTTTGTTTAAGATTAAAGATCCGCTCGATACGAGCGCGACCTTAAGAAGCTAAAGAAAAGGCTTTAAAGGTGTTAAACTTAGCTGGAGTACGAGAGTTGGTTAGCTTATAAAAAGAAAGTGGTTTATCGTCGTCGGCGAAAAAGCGGCGAAGATTAGCGGTTTTATAAGTAAAAAGAATAGTTTAAGAGACCGAAAGCCTATATAGCTCCTTGCCTTTAGAATTATCTTCGAAGGACACTTAAAGAGGCTTTGACGGGCGTTCCGTAATTAGCAAGACCGCTTAGAGTTGGTCTAGTTCTTTTCGAGCTCGACGGGCCTTTTTTTTAGCCTTTTCGGCGAAGGTTTTTTATTCGCTAGCGCTTTTATTAAGCTCTTCGTTGCGGGTTTTCATATCTGCGAAAAGCTTCTTGAGCTTAGCGGCCTCTCGTTAAGATTAAAAGAGAGCTTAATATTAAGCCAAAGCTTCCTCGAAGTTAGTAAGGGCCGAAAGATCATCTTTATCGTCTTGCTTATTAATAGCTTTTTCTTAAGTAAAAGGAACTGCTAGTTGGGCCGTAAAAGAAAAGGAAGGAGCTGCTAGAGCAGCTTTAAAAGGTGTGCGAAGGATTTTGCTCGCGGAGCGAAGGTTGCTGTATTATATAAGTGCTATCCTTTAAGTTATACTTAGAATAAGCCTTTTCGTGACCGTTAGAGTCGTCTGAGTGTTTTAACGTCTAACTATTAAAGAATTTTAAAGAAAAAAATATTATTAAAGCCGTTCTTGGCGGAGTAAAATAGTTGTTGATAATATAACGACTTTAAGCGATTACTTAAAAGAATTCACGGAAGCGCGAAGGTTCATATAAGAGCTTAAGAGAATCTCAAAGTAATAACTTAAAATCAACAACTACCGAATGTAAAGGTCGAAGGTAGTTAAGGTCTATATACACGAAAGTAGAAGCGCTAAAGACTCGTGAACTATGGTTTATAAGTCAAAAGCGAGGAATAAGAGAATACGAAGAATACGAAAGAAAAAAAGAAAGAAGTAGCTTGGCGCATGTAAGGTGCGTCCAGAAGACCTGGCGTGTCGTCACTA